TATGTTTTCAGATTTTTGAAACTTACAGTTTGACAACCTGAATGCTCTTAGTTTAATGGTAGGCACATAGCTAGCAATCAATAAATACATCTTGACTTATTGATCTCCACTTTTTTTTTTGATGGGGATACAGCAGACTTCCAAACTTTGGAAAGAGAATAACTTTACAGAACTTTTAGAAAAATCAGAAAATGAATTTTGAATGATATTTTGTATTTTGGTTCTCAAATTCTAAAATTTTGTGCCAGAGAGAGTTAAATTTGAATGAAACTGTTTATCTACTTCTTTTCTATATTAAGGTTTGAATTGACAAATAGTCTAAGAATATAATTTTACTAACATAATATTTTTATAAACATATAAAGTATTATTTATTTTTGTGCAAGCAGTATATGCAATAGAATAAAATCTGAAAGGTATAAAAGAGAATGTTCTGGAAAGATAAGTCTCTGTCCCACCATTTTCCTCAATCAACAAACTACTTCAAGATTATTCCTGGTACCAGTTTCCTGTGCATCTGTTCACACACACACACACACACACACACACACCCTTTAAAACTTTTTAATTAAACAGTATGTGGCATATTATATATGCTCTTTTGCAACTTGCTTTTTTTTACTTATTAATATTTCTTGAAAATTGTTCAACACCAGTATACATATGGGTACCTCAGTCAAAGCATGTCTAGTAGCTGATCACTATTTCCACGGCTCCCACATACATCTTACCCATCATCATCTTCTGCAGGATCTACCTAATCTCCATTTCTGCCTCCTTACACCTCTATAATCTCTTTGCAACCTGGCAGCCAGAAATGATCCTCATATATGTAGGACAGATCATCTCCCATCCAGAGCACATCTACAGACCTCTCGATGTCCTACAAGGTCCTTCACGTATGGTCTGCTTTCCTACTACGAGCACAGTTGTTTTGTGGTCTCATCTCCAACCACTTTCCCTCACTCCACTCTCGTCACTGTGGCCCCCATGGTGTTCCTCTAACACCCCAGGCACACTCCCTCATCAGGATCATGGCCCTTGCCATTCCCTCCGACAAGAGGCTACTCCCCAGACATCTGTGTGCCTTCCTCCCTGACTTCCTCCTCGGGTCTTTGCTCAGAGGCTGCTTCTCATTGAGCCTTCCTTGACCACCACCTCCAGCTCCCTCTCCCATGCACAGACCCCCACTCCACTTGCCTACTTTATCTTTTTCCATAGCATTGGACACATCATATATTTTACTGTCATTTGTTGTCTACATACAAGCTCTGTGAAATTGAGGATATTTTTCTGTTTCGTCCACTGCTGCATGCCTAGCAACGCAAACAGGGCCTGGCAAAAAGTAGGCACCTAATAATATTAATTAGAAGAACTGATGAATTTATGCAGAATAGTGCGTGTATATTTATGTTCTATTTGTGTGACACAATGTAGTGTAGTTTAACCTTTGCCGTATTTGAGGACTTATGCTTTTAGTGCCTTGTGACCCCGATAAAGTTGCTTAACTTTTCTGAGTCTTGATTTCCCTTTCTATAAAATAGGAATAGTAGCTGTGCTTACGTTTTATAGGGCTGTTTGGGGATTACGTTTTGAAAAGAACATAAAGTGTTTAGTACTATGCCTGGTTTATAGTAAGTTGTTAATAATGTAGTTATGATTTCTCTTTTAATCATTCATCGAAAATGGATTTATGAAATGAATAGGTGGCTGAGAATATAGAAACTTATTTTAAAATCTAATAGTGTTACCTTTTAGTGATTATCTCCTTACAGTAGAGTATAAGCCACTTTGGTTTTTTTTGGAGAAGTCATTTAACATCTTCAGAAAAAAATTTTTTTTAATCTCTTCAGAGGTAAGGACCTTTATCTCTGCATTTTGGTTTTCTAGCTGGTCCTGGAAATAGAGCCTGCTCAATAAATCTCGTTGACTAAACAAATGGAAGAATAAATCTCAGTGGGCATAAGCAAGTTCATAGTTATTAATAAGCTGCAATTTTCTAGGTATTGAAGCAGGCAGTAGGGATATAAAAAAGAACATTTAGGGGATGAAGTTTATTTCAAGACCTTTACATAGTGATCACTGAGCTTGGGGGATGTATTTTTATTTCAAAAGTAGTTTTCTAACTGAGGGAGGGGGAATTTGGATTCATCAGCCTGTGAAAAGTACAAAAACTCCAGAGATGTCTTTGCCATAATTTCTCCGAAGAGCTTTTCAAAGAAACGAAACATCAATGGTTTATCAGGTAGACATCAAGAGCGAGGAAGCAGGGGGACCCATATGGGAAATCCTATGGTAATTCAAGACCTCAGTGAATTCCTGGGGTCCCCACACATATTGCTAACCATGAATGATTCCATATTTGATACAGAATGAGAGTATGATCATGAGCCATGCAGCTTGAGACAGAGAAAATGCCTGACCTGAGTTGCAAGATAGGGGCAGATTTCCATCCTGCTCCATGTTCTGACCCTGAGTAAGATAATCCTGAACCTCAGTTCTTCACCAGAAAATTGTGGTTTTAAAAATTTGCCTCCTTTATAAGAATATACAATGGAAAAAAGATAGTTTCTTCAGCAAGTGGTGTTGAGAAAGTTGGACAGCCTCATGTAAATCAGTGAACTTAGAACATACCCTCTCACCATGCAGAAAAATAAACTCAAAATAGCTTCAGCACTTAAGTATAAGACCTGATACTGTAAAACTCCTAGAAGAGAACATAGGCAAAACAGTCTCTGACATATATCCTACCAATGTTTTCTTATATCATTTCCCAAGGAAATAGAAATAAAAGCAAAAATAAACCAATGGGACCTAATCAAACTTATAAGCTTTTGCACAGCACAGCAAAGGAAGCCATAAACAAAGCAAAAAGACAACCTATGGAATGGGGGAAAATGTTTGCAAGTGATGTGACCAACAAGAGCTAAATTTCCAAAATATACAAATAGCTCATACAACTCAGCAACAATTAAAAATAACTCAGTCAAAAAATGGGTGGAAGAACTAAATAGACATTCCTCCAAAGAAGACATACAGATGACCAAGAGGCACATGAAAAGATGCTCAACATCATTAGTTATTAAAGAAATACAAATCAAAACGGCAATGAGGACTACACCTGTCAGAATGGCCATTATTAAAAAGTTTGGGGACTTTCCTGGTGGTCCAGTGGTTAAGAATACACCTTGCAATGTCAGGGGATACAGATTTGATCCCTGTTGTGGGAACTAAGATCCCACATGCAATGGAGCAACTAATCCTACATTCTGCAGCTACTGAGCTTGCACGCCACAACTAGGGAATCCACACTCCAGCAACTAAAGATCCTATGTGCTGCAATTAAGATCCAAGACAACTAAATGAGTACATACATAAAACACATTTTAAAAGTTTGTAATAACAAATGCTTGAGAGGGTATGGAGAAAGGGAAACCCTCCTACACTGTTGGTGGAAATGTAAATTTGTGCAGCCACTATGGAAAACAGTATGGAGGTTCCTCAAAAAAAAAAACACTAAAAATAGAGTTGCCGTGTAATCAAGAATCCCACTCCTAGGCTTATATCTGAACAAAGCTGTAACTCAAAAAGATACATGCACTCCTATGTTGGTAGTTGCACTATTTACTTTTCAACTAAGATATGGAGATAACCTTAATGTCCATCAACAGATAAATGGGCAAAGAAGTTGCAGTACATATATACAATGGAATACTACTCAGCCATAAAAAATGAACTAATGTCATTTGCAGCAATGGGGATGGATTTAGAGATTATCACACTAAGTAAAGTAAGTCAGAAAGAGGAAGATAAATATCATATGATATCACTTATATGTGGAATCTAAAGTATGACACAAATGAACTTATCTATGAAGCAGAAAAGATTCGCAGATAAAGACAGCAGACTTACAGTTGCCAAGGGAATGGGATGGGGGAGGGATGAGTTGGGAGTCTGGGGTTAGCAGATGCAAACTATCATGTATAGAATGGATAAACAACAAGGTCCTACTGTATAGCACAGGGAACTGTATTCAATATCCTGTGATAAACCATAATGGAAAATGAATCACTTTGTGTACAGCAGAAATTAACACAACACTGTAAATCAGCTACACTTCAATTTAAAAAGAAAGAAGGAAAAAGGAAAGCCAGATTTGAGGCACCTTTGTGGGGAGGGAGAGAGCTGTGCTTGGGAGGCAATATGCTGAAGAAGGACTAATAGTCTTCTATTTCTTGCTCTGGGCAGCAGCTACAAGGATGTTCACTTTCTTATTACTCCTTAAGCTATATATTTATGCTTTGTGCACTTTTATGAGTGTGTGTTATATTTCACAATGAAAACTGTTTCTAAAACTATAAAGTAAATAAATAAAAATAAAAACCAGCCTCCTTGAAATGATTACATGGATGAGAAAATTCTCCATACCCTGGAAACCACTGTATAAGTGGGACTCTGGTTCTGACAGATAGCACTCTTTGTTAAGTTCCTGTCAAAGAATAACCATCCCCACAGGATGCCTGCCCTTAGCAAGCACACTGCCCACTTCCAGGATTTTATCCCAGCACATTATTCAGCAGAAGCAGGAAAATGATCATTGCAGGGAGATTTGTAACAACAACAAAACTGGAAGTCACCCAAATATTTATAGAAGCTGAATGGTTTTTATTAATTATGCATCTTAACATTTTGATCAGGAAGAATATCCAGCCTACCCACGCTTATATCCTATCAGGGTCAGCCTATTCCTATTGGAGAAGATGGTTTGTTGTTGGTGATGGTGTTGGGGAGGGCTAGTGAGCCTGCCTTGAGGGGGTGGCTGCTTGGAGGCTGAATAAAGGGGTGTGTGATGGTGACAGGTCACAAAGGACTATGCAGGATAAATGTGGTGATGCCAAGAGACTTAGGCAGAGCCCTGCAGGGAGATGGGCAGTTGCCTTCACTCTCTCTCTCAGGGGCTCGATTTGTGGCTGGTGGCGCTGTCTTGAAAGAAGAGAACCATGAGCAGTGAGTGTTTGTTACCTTATTACACGGCCAACAGCTACCGTTCAATGGGCGTGTTCAATACCTCCATGGGTGACCTGCAACGACAACTGTACAAGGGAGGAGAGTATGACATTTTCAAGTACGCACCCATGTTTGAAAGCGACTTTATCCAGATCAGCAAGAAAGGAGAGGTGATTGACGTCCATAACCGCGTCCGAATGGTGACTGTGGGCATCGCATCCACCAGCCCCATCCTCCCACTACCTGATGTCATGCTCCTGGCCCGACCAACTAAAGTCTGTGAAGAGCATGTCAGACATGCCCGGACAACCAAGGGGAGAGGTCGCAAGCCCACGAAGACCCTAGAGCTCACCAGGTTGCTTCCCTTGAAGTTTGTCAAGATCTCCATCCACGACCATGAGAAACAACAGTTGCGCCTGAAGCTTGCCACTGGCCGTACTTTTTATCTGCAGCTATGCCCCTCTTCTGATGCACGAGAAGACCTCTTTTGCTATTGGGAAAAGCTTGTCTATCTCCTGAGACCACCGGTGGAGAGTAGCTACAGTACCCCGAGTACAGTACTCCAAGCTGGAGACGCAACAATTCTGGAGGGTGACAAAAGCCTATTGGTAAGTACCTACAGAGAGTCGAGAACATGGGGCAGAGTGTTTTGGGAGAGCAGTGCAAAGCTGGTCCTTCAAAGGGGTTTGATGCTCTCTGAGACTCACCTGGGAAATGCCTTCCCGTGTCAAAAAGTCTCGGAACCAAATGAGCCATCACTATGGGACTCACACACTGGAGAGGTTCCAAGCACTTCTCTACATTGTCCCACCAGGCCAAGTTTCAGAGAGCCCTTAGGTATTGTATCAGCAGCACTGGCGTCATTCCAGGGTTGTAATCCCTTCTACAGCAATCCTGATTGTCTAATCTTTTCTTGAACACTTACCCAAGGCCAGGTAATCTCATCAGTGGTGGAATATTATTCATAATGAGGAAGTTCTTCATTGTCTCCCCGTGACTCTCATATGCTGATTAAAATCAGTCCAACTCAATTGTGCATCTACTCATGCACAATTCATTCTAATAGTCTCCAAAACATAGAATGCATGCATCCCTTGACCAAGCAACCGCACTACTAGGAATCTGTCCTGCTTAGGTAGAAACGCAAGGATATAAAATTAAACCATGGAGAACTGTATTAATATCAATGCTTTCCCTGGCCCTGGGATTGTCCAAGCAAACGGAGTGGCTGTTTGACAGAGATGCTGTAGACAGAATCTTTCATCCAGTGGGAGCTTAGACTCGATGATTTCAAAGGTTATTCTAAAGATAAACCCTTGAACTGCTCAGCTTCAGGATGGGATAGGAGTTGGACAGCTCTGATCTCACTTTCTGTGATCTCTATCTTACCTGTTTCTCCTCCCTTGGCACAGACCACAGAGCTCCATAGAGAAAGGGATCATGACGCTGTGGGGCTTCACAAGCTTGGTGATGTGTCGGGAGCCTCGTCTTGTGCTTATGTTGGTGGAGAGGGAGTCTATCATGCCCCCCAGGGCTCAGCTACATCCTTGAAAAGTACTGAAGGAGGAGCAGCAGGGACAGCCTTGGGCCTGGCCGTAGCGGGGACAACAGCAAGCCCTGGAGGAGGCGTGGCAGTTGCAGGGGTGGGAGCGGGCTCTGTAGGAGGTGCTGTGAGCTTGGCCGCAACCAGGAGCACCAGCAGCAGCCAGATGAGCGCCACCTTGGCAGGAGCTGCCGCCAAGAGTCCAGGAGAAAGCGGATCCGGCAAGGCCATTGTAGGTGCTGCCAGCATATCCTCAGAGGGCACAAACCTGGTCTTGGCAGGTGCTGCCAGCACATCCTTGACAGGGGTGGACAGTGCAGACAGCAGCATGAGCATGGTGTTTGCAGGTGCAGCGACAACTGGCAAGGCTGCTGCTGCAAGTGCTAAAGGCCAGGTCGTAGCCCCCCTGGTCTCTAGCTTGCAGAGTGAAGGCTACATGTCTGAACGAGATGGAAGCCAGAAGGTCTCCTGCCCCAGGGATGAAACTCGGAAGGAAAAAAAGGAAAGAAGGGAAAAGAAGGACAAGTCTTCATCTAGGAAAAGTTCCCGTCACCGCAGAACAGGGGAAGGTCATCACAGGACAGGAGGGGACAAGACCCGGAAGTCATCCTCCCACCGGTCCGTATCTGGCCATGGAAACAAGAGAGATGACAAAAAAGAAAAAGGGCAGAGCAGCACCAGGGGCAAAGGACACAGCCCTCACAAGAGTGGCAGCCATAGCTCATCTGCCAAGGAGGGGAGGACAGCTCGCAAGCCAGGGAAGAGCAGGTCCAGCACCAGTTCAGGGACTTTAAATAAGAGATCCAGTAAGATCAGCACTTTCTTCAGAAGCTTCAGAGTCATTCCTGGTTCAAAACCAACGGTTGGACATGACAGAGAGGTAGACTTTGTGGCTAAGACGGTAGAGAAACGCAATATAGAGGCCAAGGTGGAGAAAGCCCCGGTTGGTGAGGACGTGGAGATCCATGGAACCGTGACATCAGAGACGATGGAGACCATCATTATTGAAACAAAATCCGGTTAAATAGGAGCCAGGGCAGGAAGCTTCCATGGAGACCCAACTTCAGGAAAGGATCCCTAGAGAGTCAATTCCAGCTTTCTTTAATAAAGGAAACCATACAACTCCAAAAGAAATGCTCTGTTCTGTTTGAATTTCTATGTCCCCTTGCCTGGTAGTGACTTCACAGTGGTTTCTGTGATGTGAACTTTGCTGAGACCCGTCTCCAGTCAAGCAGAACCCCACCTCCCACCCATGTCCAGCAGAGCCAGCATTAGTGCCCTGCCTTGCCTCAACCCCTTTCTGCCTTTGGTTTCCCCAAGACTATGGCTGTAAGTCCCAGACTATGGGCTGGGAAGCACCACCACCACCACCACGTCCCCATGCCCTTCGTCTTCTCCCTGAAGAGTCCTGAGTAAGGTCATTCAGTCCAGTCCATAGAATAAGACAAGACGCATGTCTCCTCTGGGGGTAATCAGGTGAGAAAAGAAAGTGCTTCAGCACTTGTGGGCAATCAGAATAATGAAGTTTATTATCTTGATCAGGAACTGGCAGCCTGAGGGTCAAATCTTGCCAACTACCTGGTTTTATAAGTACAGTTTTATTGGAATGTAGCTACATCCATTCACTTATATATTGTCTATGGCTGCTTCCCCTGGAGGAGGAAATGGCAACCCACTCCAATAATCTTGCCTGGAGAATTCCATGGACAGAGGAACCTGCTGGGCTGTACAGTTCATGGGGTCGCAAAGAGTCAGACATGACTGAATGACTAATGCAACACAAGGCTGCTTCCATATTAAAAAGACAGATCTGAGTAGCTGTGTCAGAAACCACGTAACCTGCAAAGTCTAAAATGTTTATTCTCTGGAGTTTGGCAGAAAAGTTTGCTCACCTGGATGTAATCTTAAAATTCTTCTTCCTCCTGGGTATATACTCTGGAGAAACTCTCACAAACGCTTTCCAGGAGACAACTAGGAAAATGTTTACAGTAAAACAATCTGTAATAGCAAAACCCTGGAAACTGTCTACATATCATCAAACAGGAGAACTGATCAAATGTGGTGTATGCCTGCAGTACACATTATACAGCAGTGAAGATGAAAAGCAGTTGGAGAGGTTAGCATGGGTGAGTCTCCTGTAACGCTGATTAACAAAGCGTCATAAAAATACATGCAATATAGCTCCATTTGTAGAAAAGAGCAAATAATAAGTGTGGGAACACATGTTCAATAAATGTGTAAAGGAAAAACAAGGACATGATAAATAACAAATTCACAACAGTGGATTTCTATAAGGTGAAAAGAATGGAGGGATGGCCTGGGAGGTAAATATGAAAGCTTCAACAGAGTGGGGATTGTTCTATTATGCAAAGAAGGGGTGTCCATGGAGATGTATTATTGTGTACATTTTATTTTAAAAATAATTCCATTCATTATTTCTGGCTGTGCTGGGTCTTTGTTGTTGCACAGGCTTTACTCTAGTTGCTGTGGGCAGGGGCTACTCTCTAGCTGCAGTGTGCGGGCTTCTCATTGCAGTGGCTTCCCTAGTTGAGGAGCATGGGCTCTCGGGTGCCGACTTCAGCAGGCTTCAGCAGTTGCGGTAGGAGGGCTCAGTATTTGCGGCTCCAAGGTCCTAGAGCACAGGCTCAGTAGTTGTGGTACACAGACTTAGCAACTCCATGGCATGTGGGGTCTTCCCAGATCAGGGGTCAAACCCATGTCTCTTGCATTGGCAGGTGAATTCTTCACCACTGAGACACCAGGGAACCCCTGTGTATATTCTATTTTAGTGTCTCTGATTTCAGGATGGTTTTTATATTGCTGTCAGCCAGGTGGCAGTCACTACCTTAAAAATATCTTAACCAATGTATTTCACGTATGTTTCCTTTTTAATATATGTGCAAGAGATAACAAAATATCTAAGTCTGGAAAATATCTTTCAATAAGCATAAAATTTAAAAAATCTAAGTGACATACTCACTATCCAGTAACACAGGAAAGGTTTGATATTTTGGTAGGAAATAATAGAATAATTCAAAATGCTCTATACTAATGAACTATGTAAGTGATGTATGCATGTGGAAAATGATTCTAAAAATAAAAAATCATATATGAGAAGTGAGATTGTGCAATTTTCAAATGTCCATTATAAAAATGAATCATTTTCATTTTAAGAAGTTGTAAGTAAATTTCATGTGTCTATGAAAAGCATTGAATTGTTAACAACAGATGATAAAGTGGCATTTGAGAAAAATGATTCTGAGAACCATGTGTGTTTGTAAGGGCCTGGGAGTCCTCTGCTAGACTTGCAGTTCTCTGTTCACGCTCCTGTGCGACAACAGTCTACTAGGACGGAAGCTGGGTTTCCAGTAAAACTTAGGGACTTTCTCTGCAAAGCACATGTGTGTGATAGAGGTGGAGGAGGTGAGAAATAAGATAGGGAGGAGTGGTGGCTTGGGAGGATGAGGGGAAGCCCTTCTCAGTTGCTCTGGTGGGCGGCTGGAAAATCCCACCTTGTGATTTCTGATAAGCAAGGTCAATCAATTCTGGGGATCAATGTGTCCTTGGAGTTAACTCTTGAAACAGTGGGTCTTGGGAGGGAGAAACCAAGAGGACTGTTCTCTAAGAATTGAGAGGGATTTGGGGGAGGCCTTCTGGAAATGTGAAGGGTAATGTGATAGAGAAGAGTCATAAAGGAGAACTCTTTCCAAAGCCTTTGACTCAGAGCCCCAAATTTTCACTATGCCAGAGGCCAAATCAGCCTAGTTAAAATTCAGTCTCATGATTCTGTATCCCCTGCCTTTACCTTTTGTCCTTCTTATCCTGTTTTATGCATTCTCACTCTCTCACTCCAAACGGCTTCTCTAATGTCAACCTAGTTTGTCCATTATGCAGGACGTTAGTTGAGCAGACACAGAATGTACACAAATGCCATCTAAGAAAGTGCAGGTGCAGACTTGCCACCACAATATGCCCTGCCTGGCACTTTCTCTGCATTTCCTTTTCTATTTTGACAGTTCATCAAGAGATGCATGTTCAGATACATATGTATTTCAATGCAACAGGCATCTTCCTCTGGAGGGAGCTATCAATTGGGGCATCAAGTCAATAAACCCTATCAGATAAAGGTCAATATTTTTGACAGCAATATTCATCTCCATAGTAACAATTTGGCTGCTGCAGGTTCAATTAGGCAATGGATGGTTGGTTACTAACTAACTGGCTTCCCAAACTTCAAGTCTAGCAACACACATACATACTAGAGTTTCTTTGCCTACAGCAAAATAAGGTCATTCACAGGATTGTCGTAATCGAGTAGAGTCTTTCAGACACAAGAAAGATGTGTGATAATGGGAAGAAACAAGATGCCTCAAAATATTGAAAGAAGTGTCATGGCTGGCAGAGCGAGTGTGATAAGATGATGGGGAACACAGCACGGGCCAGGCCATATAAAGTTTTGTGGTCCATTTAAAGGATTTTGATTTCTGACCTTGGAGTGATGGAAAGCCATGAAATGTTTTAAATAGGGGAGTAGCAGATATGCAGATGACACCACCCTTATTGCAGAAAGTGAAGATGAACTAAAAAGCCTCTTGATGAAAGTGAAAGAGGAGACTGATAAAGTTGGCTTAAAGATTAACATTCAGAAAACTAAGATCATGGCATCTGGTCCCATCACACCATGGGAAATAGATGGGGAGACAGTGGAAACAGTGTCAGACTTTATTTTGGGGGCTCCAAAATCACTGCAGATGGTGATTGCAGCCATGAAATTAAAAGATGCTTATTCCTTGGAAGGAAAGTTATGACTAACCTAGATAGCATATTAAAAAGCAGGGACATTACTTTGCCAACAAAGGTCTGTCTAGTCAAGGCTGTGGTTTTTCCAGTGGTCAGGTATGGATGTGAGAGTTGGACGGTGAAGAAAGCTGAGCCCCGAAGAATTGATGCTTTTGAACTGTGGTGTTGGAGAAGACTCTAGAGAGTCCCTTGGACAGCAAGGAGATCCAACCAGTCCATCCTAAAGGAGATTAGTCCTGGGTGTTCATTGGAAGGACTGATGCTGAAGCTGAAACTCCAGTACTTTGGCCACCTCATGCAAAGAGTTGACTCATTGGAAAAGACCCTGATGCTGGGAGGGATTGGGGGCAGGAGGAGAAGGGGACGACAGAGGATGAGATGGCTGGATGACATCACTGACTCGATGGGCATGAGTTTGAGTAAACTCCGGGAGTTTGTGATGGACAGGGAGGCCGGGCGTGCTGTGATTCATGGGGTCACAAAGAGTCAGACACGACTGAGTGACTGAACTGAACTCAACTGAGTTTAATCAGGTGTGCACTTTGTGGAGGGCACTGTGGTTTCTGTGAAAAGAAATATTTGGTGAGGAGATCGTTAACATGTGACTTTATGTAACTTTCTATGTTGGCCACAATCTATAAAATGAGACTGGAGGGGATGTTTTGAAAGATGGTTTTTCATTTGAAATATCCACATGAGGTGGACATTTCTTCAGTGAAGGACCCATGGCCCCACCTGGTGGGGGTGTGGCCCACAGAAAACCTTCAGCTAGCAGTGAGTTTGGAAGTTGCCTAGGTTCCTCAACCAAGGTGCATAGGAAGAACTGAAGGAGGTAAATGTCTGGGTGTCATAGCCCAAGGTCAGTCTGGTTCAGGAGCTGCTGGTGGGACCTGTATCATAGCTCAGTTTCTCCTTCTGTGGATTCTTGCTTCTTCCTGAGGTGTTGCCCTAGGAGTTCTCCTTATTGCTCAAAACTCTATCTCAAAATCTGCTCATTGGAGAATACAATCTGTGACACTATGTTAGTGTAATGTGCTGTGGCCACCTCCTCTAGAGAAGACAGTAAAGAGACAAAGGAAAGTAGACTCAGCAGAAAGATATTGAAGTCCTGGGCAAGTCACAGACACTGGAGTCTGCATGGGGTAAAGGAGGCCATAGTGATTTAAATACATACAAGTTGCCTCTGTCCTTTGGAGGCCCAAGGTTCTAAGAGAAGTTTATTTT